TTTTTTTTTTTTTTTTTTCCCAACGTTTATTTATTTTTGGGACAGAGAAAGACAGAGCATGAACGGGGGCGGGGCAGAGAGAGAGGGAGACACAGAATCGGAAACAGGCTCCAGGCTCCGAGCCATCAGCCCAGAGCCTGACGCGGGGCTCGAACTCACGGACCGCGAGATCGTGACCCGGCTGAAGTCGGACGCTTAACCGACTGCGCCACCCAGGCGCCCCTGGAGAACGGCTTTTAAGGACTTAAGGGCTTTGAGGGGCAGGGAGAACCGAAATGTATTTCTTCTCAGAAGTCGGGGAGGAATATGTCCTCTGGAGCTAGAAAATGAAAGTGTGAGTGAGTGAATGAGTGTATTCCCTTTATTACATATAGAACCGTCCTCCACAGCTTTCCTCTCTCCTCTCCTGTGACCCAGTTCAGCCATCCTCCGGGGGGGGGGTCAGCCTCCCCCTTTCTTGGGCAATATGATGGGGGAGCCCCGAGGAGGGGTGAGAAGCCCACACACCGAGCCCCAAGACAGGTCACTGGGACTCTCAGGGCTTCAGGCGCCTCGTCTCTAAGGTGGAGAGAGGGTCACACCTCCAGAGGAGCGGTGGGGTTCAGATGAGCTGAAGTGTCAGAGGACAGCTTGATAAGCATGAGGCATGGCCTCCGGAGGACTTTGGGAATGATTACTGTTCCTGATTCTACACCTCCTCACAGCTAGAGACCCTGCGGTGCAATAGGGACGGTGCTCAGGAGGGCCAGACCCACTTCCTGCCTCCCAAGTGTAAAAGCACCCCCCGCCCCACCCCGGGCCCGCCACCCAGTGTGACCACGTGTACCTTCCACCCTTCCCATTCTGACTCTGCTCAGTTACCCCTAGCAGATAGGAGTTTCACAGATGACTCAGAAGTGCAGAAATGCAAGTTTATTTTTCTGAACGTAACTTTGTGCGTACCCTTATCTCTGGGCTAAGTGACCAATTCATCGTCACCTTAATGACTTTCTCCTTTCCCATCAGCCAGTAAGACATCCCTCTCCCTTCTCAGAAATGGGGAAACTGCTCTTCATCAATCCCCGC